TCTCGTCACAGGAGCTGGCTGGATTCCTGGTTCTTCGCTCGGAGCGCGAAACCAGTTGGGACGCGGTAAATGTGTTTAATGGCTGCTCGTGGCGTGTTGGTGAGCTGCGCCACAGATTCTCTGGTTTCAGCTGGCTAAATCTTCCGCTACTGGCGCTTTGAATCTAGTCGTAGGGACAGTCGGCTGTCCGGCGAGGACAAAGGGGCCGTTTTGGCCGATTTTTTGTTTGGCAAAGACTTTTTTTGGGGCACTACTAACCAAAACTGGCGGTGGCTGATTGGGTAGCCCTCTCTAGGCTACATTTGTCTAGGATGGCATTACCTAGGGCACCACGACGGCAGGCCTTACTGACCTAGCGGTTGATGGTGAGGGGGGGAGACTCTATAGCACTGGTAAAGTTGCGGTGCGTAGGAAGTGGACGAGGGCGCCCTTAAGGCACGTGTTCATTGCGTCCAAGTATTCCTTGTTATCCATCGTTTTCAGTGACAGGATAACGCTTTCTAATGATTTCAACACCGTCGAGTCTATTTCGAAGCTGTCTGAGGTGTTTGCAGCCCGCCTCCTTTTGGCTTCCGGCAAAGCTTCAATTTCTAACGGGTAATTTTGTGCCGTATCAGTGGGAGCACTACGAGCAGAGTGATTGTCGCTCTCAGCTGTCCCATGAATCGCGGCCGGGGACGGCAGAGGTCTAGAGGCACTTGCTGCCTCAGCGTTGGTGATTACTTCCGTTCCCCTAGATGTTCTTTCGATTGGTTTCAGCGTTGCTACCGGAACCGCAATTTTTCGAGCCGCAACGCTCGCGGATTCGGACGTTGTTTTGGCCGAGAATACTTTCTCGACGACAATATTGGGTGCGGTCGACGCCTTGTGGAAGCTCTCAGCTCCTACATCTGTCCATCGCGAGTCCTTTAGACCCTTCTTGATCATGGCCTAAATTATTATTTTGACCTTCGACATCTCAATATCTGTTTGACCGCGTTCTTCCATTTGCGCGACCATGTCTACTTTCATCAAGTTGAGATCGGTGGCGCTCGATGCCAGTCTTCCTTCTTTCATTCAGTTACCACTTTTTTTGCCATTTGCAACATGTACTTTTGCGTCTCTAGACTCGTCTGGTGATTGTATTTCCCTAATTTTGTGGCTAAAAAGGATTTCGCGCTTTCGCGGATCCTAGGGCTACCGGTGTCATTTTAAGACCGAGTGGCGCTGTACCACGAGAGATTGATGTTTATATATTCAAAATGTGATGATGATGATTTGATTTGAATTCATTTCGTATCAGGCTTACGCCCTACACCCAATAGGCGTAATACGGGTCTATGCTCCCTCAGGACACACTACAACCTAAATACATAGTTTGCTTGTCAAATCTATACGCATAACATAAATAATGAAATAAATTCCAAGAAAATTAAGCGCCCTACGCTTTTGCTTCTTTCTCACAACTCTCTTTCCTGAAAAACTTCTTTTTCGGCAGGACTTAATCCTCCTGGTGTGGTATTTGCCTCTCGTAACACTTAAATACTGTTAAGAACTGGAGAAATCTTTCCCAACCCTTTTCTGTTAGCATCTCCCATCCTCTCGGTGGTGGTTCGTGCTTCAAGCTTCTCCATTGCTGTAGAACAATCCGGCATTCGGCAAAATGCCAAGGACGTTTCTCCCTTCCACACACGCATTTACAGTTTTCGAATTCGCGGCCAAATCTTTCATGGTAGTTTCTGAAATCGCCATATCCCGTCCTTGCTGCAATAAGGCGGTGATGCGCCCACCTCGGCAGTGCTAGCTCCGGTGGACGTTTTCGTTTCATCTGGAGATCCAATTCTTCGTAGCGGCTCGGTCTGTGATCTAGCCACCAGGATTCCACTGCTTCTTCACATCTTTGCCGGACAAGCCGAGTGAGGGCTGCGAAAATGTATTTAGGTCTGTCCCTCATGTCGGAGGGAGTGATGATGATGATGATGACGATATTTTTATCGTGACCGGGTACAGCCCCAACACCCAGAGGGCATGGCACGGATAGTCCAGATCTAATTATGACTCTTCGCTACCTACATCACTGTTTAGTAGAAACCTAGAAACACGAAACTGAAAGCAAATAAAACCAACATTTCTAAGGTGCGAGTGCCCTTCACCACATCTTATTCCTCGTACCACACCGAACGGTCCCAAGAAGCATCACAGTTGACCTTTACACTCCCTATTCACAATTCAATCTTGCTGTAACACTTTGTTACAGTTAAAAAACGCCAGAATTTCTGTCACATCATATCCCTGATCGTAGGGCGTGGTTCCTTCGTTTCTGTCCTCCATTTCTGGATAGTCGGGCGCCACTCTGCAAAGTGCCATAGCCGCTTTTCTCGGCCACAATTGCAAAGCATTTCTTCGTTCTGGTGTTGGAACCGTCTATGATAGCTGGCGAAGTCACCATGCCAAGTCCTTGCTGCGATGAGACGGTGATATGCCCATCAAGGTAGAGCTAACTCTGGAGGGCGTTTTCTCCGCATCAGTAGGTCCAGATCTTCATACCTACTCGATCTGCTCTGAAGCCAACATTCTTCTGCAAATTTTTGTACCCGGATGTTGACTTGGCGTTTGAGAGCTGCAAAAGTCAAAACTTCGTGAGTTTCCCCCCAGATGCACTCTGGTCCCGGTATGTTTCCATCCCGATTATTTGACGCAAGGATTTCCTTTGCCATCGCATCGGCCTTTTCGTTTCCTGGACTGGCGCTATGTCCCGGAACCCAGTAGACCTCTATCGATGGTTGAGTCTTGCGTAGTTCCCAGAAATTCATGACCTCTACTTGCGAGGAATTTGTTCTGCCATTTTGAGGGGCTCTGACCGCCTCTTGATTGTCAAGGAGTACCTTGATATCTGTGCTACCTCCAATTTCCAACGCTGCCTCTAAGCCTCGTACTGCCCCGATGATTTCCGCATCAAAGACTTCAGCTCCAGGAAGGAAATTTCCACCGCTCGCTATAAGTTCACCGCCCCTATATATGACGTAGGCATAGGCTGAGTATGCTGGGACGGTCGATGATCTATCCGAGTAGACACAGAGTATTCCGGGGGGGAGATCTTTGAGCCAAAACATGATCTGCTCCGCCTTTTCCTCCTTGTCGCATTTGTCCCTGGCAGTAGCCATCGCGAACTTTGGTTGGTAAAGCTGCCCAGGCCCTTCTGATGCCGGCAGGCTGAGGTTCCCATTTTGTAGACGTGTTGGGTATCGCTCTGGGACCCTAAATACACGTTCTTTCTGCCCCTCTCGGAGTTTGAGTCGTTTTACAGCCTCCTTGGGTGTCTCAACTGCCCTTTTCGACAATGAGTGATAGCTATCGAGTCGGCGGATTCTGACTGCACTTCGGAGCTGTCGCTGCTGTAGCTTAATTTTTGCCGGTAAGATGTCTGATTATCTGTGAAGTACTATATTCGGTGTAGTTCTCCACACCGGTAGTGCAGCTCGAACTGCGGTTAAGATAGTCCTGTCTAGCAGTTTGAGGTGCCATCCAACACCCGTGCTTACCTTCTTATCTCGTATCGTTGTGATACGAGTGAGTCCAGGCTACCAAGCTTCAGCGCCATAGAAAGCCGTACTGACTACATGTGCGTTTACAGCGCGTATTAATGGTCCGGGGACCGCGCCTCGTTGGACCTTGTTGAAGCTAGGTAAAAAATTTAATAGCCGTTGTGCACTACTACACCATTCCTGAACATGCTGTTTAAATGTCAGTTGTGCGTCCGGCCATACTCCTAGCCATCGAGTGTGTGGATATGGTGTAATAAGCTGTTCACCAACTTGAACCGAGAGGCTGGATGTGTCAAGTTTCTTCTTCGGCCCTCCTCCGATAACCAGTAGCTCGGACTTCGAAGGGTCGAATCTAATCATGTGTGTCGTCGCCAGTTGGACTATCCTATCCACTTCTTCCTGAGCAGCTTTCACAACTTCACAGGAATTTTTACCGACTCGAATAATGGCGATGTCGTCTGCATATCCAAATCTACAGTTGGCGGAGCCTTCCTCGGTTAGAGTGGAAATGTATAACATGAATAAATGTGGCGGGTGGTGATCCTTGGGGGACACCGCACTCAACGAGTTTTTCTTCAGTAACACCTTCTTTCTATCTTACCAAGACTCTTCTCTGTGTCAGATAGGATTTGTCCCAGCGACAGAGGAAAGATGGCCAGCCCTGACTTTGTATTCGTGCAAGCAGCTGATTTTGTAGCACTGCATCGAAGGCACCTTGAATATCCAGCGTTACTATAGCTGTAACTTTGTTAGATCTCATTGCAGCTTCAGCATCATGTATAACACATGATACCAAGTCAACTACTGAGCATCTTGGTAGCGCGCCGAATAGTTGTGGAGGTACTGCTTTGTGCTGTATTGCGAGCCAGGAAATCCGTTTAGCTACTAGTCTTTCAAGCCCCTTACCTAAACAGGAAAGAAGTGATATTGGTCGCCATCCCTTTGAGCTAGTAAGGTCGCGGCCTGGTTTTGGAAGTAGCACGACTTCAGCTACCTTAGAAGGCGTCGGAAAATATTCCAAGTTCAAATAAGCCTCGAAGAGATCCCTGATAAAAGTTCCTATCGTCTTCCAGCAGGCCTTGAGAAGTCGGACTGTAAACTTGTCGAAACCCGGGGCGGTTTCTTTACTCCCAATAGTTGCTGCTGTGACATCTTCCAGTGAAACCTCTCCGGTCCATGGAATACGCTCTGGTTGACCATCCTCCAATGCATCAATATCGTATCTCGCGTCATACCTTGCAAAAAGGGAGTCCCGCAGTGCAATCGTCCGCTCCAGTGGATCTGAAAGCCACTCGTTGGGTGAACATGTGATGTGAGATGTATGATATGTGATTTTAAGGGGTAAAATGGGCTAGTAGGGCAAGCTTCCATCAATTTCCCGAATTGGTTTTTGTTTATTAACCATTTCACGTCCGGCAAGTGCCGAGCCGAGGCTCCGATCCTAAGCGAGCCGCCGAGTTTAAGGTCCCATCAAGAATGCATCCCTCGCATACGTTGGTCACAATCTGGGCGGCTAATCACCCCACTCCTCTCCTACTGTATTCTGATAGTTTACTTTGCCATGTATTAATGATCGTTATATTATCTGAAGTATAGAGGATTTCATGTATTTAAGGAGGAGTTAGAACGCTGATAGAAATTCAAGTTTACACCTAGTCTCAGGCTCTACACACATATAGATTGTCGAAGTCAGAGCCACGAGACATCCGTGAATTTCACAGTCACCATTCATGATTTTGTCCTTACTAACGTGCACAAGAAACCTCACTCCTACCTACTAAACTAGCTAGAGGGATGGGCGCCAGTACTCAATGCAATAGAGACTTCACACCGTAGGCAGTACTGAAACCCTGTACGCGGTGCCTTTTACGAATGTGGGGGTGAAATATTCTCCCAGAGCCAAGTTCAGTCAAATGTCGCAATATTAAATGAGTTGGCTCACGAGGCAATGATTCAAAGACTTTATTACGTCAAATTTTCACACCCAACGAGGTTGACTCCTACCTAAGTCTCATCAAGCCTACAAGCACGACCTAGTACATCTTCATTCCAATGATCATACCTCTCGTTGACTTTCTCCGGCCTCGTCTGGCCGTCAAATTCACGCCCAAGTCGATATTTACACCCGACGGAGGAAGCAAAGTGTGACGCACAAATCTGGGAGATGGTTCTTTGGAAAGGACGTGAGAGGTGCTTGGACAAGTTCACAATATGACACGGAGACTGGATACAATCTCGACGGACGTGAATTTTTGAATTTTTGCGAGGAGTTTCACAAATTGAGCTTTCAAACGATGAAAAGTTCCGTGGTCCGCCTCTTAGTGGTGTTCTCTGGTATAGTTTGAGTAGCCTGGACACCTACTCTACTTGGGAAGGAGACGCCTATACCACACTTCACGCGGAGAAAAGTTGAAAGATGATGGAGGCATGTGTGGATAACTCAGGGTTTTTGAAACGTTCCCCTGGGTGGGTATTCACGGATGAGGGTTGACTTTGTTGTAATTCTAACAGTCCTGCATCTGTTACACTAGTCATGTACTATCTCGTTTTCGTTTCCGTTATTCGTATCATTTAATACTGCGCCACATCTATTTTCTGTAATATTAATTAGTCTTGGCGCTTAACACAAGATATGTTGGAAATTATGGTATATGCATGATTCTGTCTTACACTCAGCTAGCTTGGGGGTCTACTGGTGGTCAAGACATACCTTCACCATGATAATGTCGCCGTACTGGGACATGGGCGCATATCCTGGCTTATTTCTAAATTCGTCTCAGTAGGACTAATTCCTGTACATATATGTAGTGTTCTTCTCCTTCAGAAATCCTCAGTTCATTACATTTACTGAATATCTCTGAAGGTCTATTCATACCCTCTTCGTGTCACCCTACCAAGCTTCACCCTTAAGCTCTATTCAACTGCTTCATTGTTCGGCATATATCCTTCACCTCCCTATACTATTCCAGCATTCCTCTACGATCCATAACCTCACAATAGACTTGGGGTGAAGAAAAAGCCGCCATAACTTCGCAGTGGTACTTGCAAATGAAATCCGAGGCATGACTGCTCCTCTTGTAATTGAGTCATCTTTTCTTTACTTTTCTTTGATATTGTGTCATAGCTAGATAGCTGCATACGCCATTAAAATCTGTTGCAAAAAAAAGAGGTCGGGCCGGGTGGAAAAATACCAGAGAGAATAGTAAGACCTCTCAGAAGCATACAGAGAAATTGTCTGAAAATTGTCGCCGGGGCATACAAGTCGAGGAGCACGAGAGTGCTGGAACACGAAACAAACTCAGAAGCCTCGGTAGTTAGCAACTGCAGATTCCCTAACTTGGAGAGCAGCCAAATTTTACCAAAGTAGAGAGTCTGGACGGCAAAAACTGAGTTTTCAAGGCTCACCATTCTTCCTACACCGTAACCTGACAAGGGCCCAAAGCAGTTTGGCAATGCAAATACGGAGGGAGCACATGGGGCTTAACTCGTATTTATATAGAAGAAAAGTACCCAGAGTCTACAGTCCAAGCTGTCCATGTAGCTACCAATCGCAGAACTCCAAGCACATGATTTTATCCTGCCCCCGATGGTCAAATGGCAGAGCGGAGATCTAGAGACAAGCCAAAGATCGATCCTACAAAGCGATGATAAACAATCCTGGAGATATAAGAAGGATAACACAGTAGATCCTAAACCATGGGTGGATAGAGCAATTCCAGACGACAAAAGCGGTCGAAATGCTGCTGAGAGAAAGGAAAAGGTCAAATAATGCTTGGGGTGGATGGAGATGATTTGGTTAGTTTTGCATGGATGGCACTGTATTGTAACTGCGCTTCCTGAAGAAAATATTTGAAAACTCTAGACAACAAGTAGAAAGGTGTGGGAGGTTTTCACCATAAAAGTTTCCTCCCGGGTAAATATTATAGATTGTAGACACCTGTATGGGCCCACAGGGCACCAAATCAGAACAATGAATTCAAATTCAAAAATAATAATTCATTATCCTGATTTGGCGCCTTAAGGCCCATGCCGGTTTTTATCGGAAGATATGTACTTTAAGTAGGATGACTCAATTTGTCATTTAGAACACTCACACTCAGATTTTATTTGCAGATACCACTCGAGATTAATTCTTACGGCGTATAACCTCTTCCTTGCATACCCGCCACAGGGAAAAGCGCGAAAACCCTGTGGCTATGCGAGTGTTCTTTCATCATCCCACAAGTACAATATCACCGCAAGAGAGAGTGGTTTTTGGGCTTTACTGGATTCGAACCCGCTGTCTCCTGTCTCGAATGGGGTAGGTGTTCAAGCTACCCAGTATCTACTTGGGAGAACGGCCTGGATGGTGTACCACTGCACCATCCAACCCTTAAAAAGATATTATATGACTTTCAACGATACAAATCATCATTGGATGTATATCATGTCACGTGTAAGCCAACATGAAGCTTTCGCGGCGCCCGATGATACGGAAAACTCACCCACAGCATATTAGTCATCAGATACTCTCTTATTTTGTAGATCAGGTCTCATGTCTCTAGGTTAGGGAGTTGTGGGCCCCCGACAACTGAGGCAGTAAGCTTTGGCGTCCTTTTTCCATTTAGATTTCAGATAAGACAGGCCTAGGCCCGTTTTTAGATAGACGTTAAATATAAAACAAACACCCACAGGATATCTGTAATAAGTCCTAATCTCCTTTAGGGGTCATAAACTTTTGTAGACAGGGTGACGGTTTATGCCACTTGGTACAGCTTTTCATCTCGGGCCTCTTCTCTGGTTTGAAGTAGGGAATGTTCTCAACACCTGTCAGTGGTATCCTCTACGAACCTCCAGTTCTTACTGTAGAGTCTACAGAGCCGAGATTGAGTAACAAAGTCTTCAATTCGATGAGGATTACATCACACACGCAGTTTCCATTGCTACCATTTTTTGGTAGAAGGTTCCGTGGAAAAGGCCGTTGAATTCCACGGGTAATTATTGAGCTGAATGGCTATCCCTCATGGGCAATATTTCAGAGATCTTTCAAGCAATAAAAGAGAAAAGGAGCACTGTAAAAGGTGTGGCCTGGGTCATAAAGGAGCCCAATGTGCTAGATAGTCATAGACTTAAGTTGTACAACAAAATACATACAACAGTCGTCCTTCGTCCGTGGGCACCCATTAAAGGGAAATTCCAATGCCTTTGTCATTCATGCATATCAACACTGTGAGAAATACAGTGGAGTCTTGCCGTATTAGGACCAAACATTTCCTGTTTCAAGTGCGATGGGTGTCCCAGCTATCCAGAATCTACTTTGGAGGTTCGCCCGTATGATGAATACCTACGCCATCCAACCATGGCGGTGTTTAGAGCGGCGTCTGCACTCAGATAAACGAAGTGGGGTAGCGCTCAATGCTCAATTTCAAAAATTCTTTTCCAAGAACCAAAATCCCACTCCCAAGATCGTGTCCATCCCTAATTCTATCTTCCAAGTCTGTCCTGATTTCTCTCACACCTCTCTCGAACATCCGCCTCTTAGGTTTGTGCGCTACGATTTATTTCCTCTAGCGGGTACCCATATTCTTGTGGGCGTGTATGTGGAGGCGATAGGAGGCAAGAGACTGATTTGACGAGAGGCGGGGTCATGGACACGAGAATGTACTAGGTCTTCCCTGCAGACTCAATGAGGCTTTGATGGTAATAGATCTCATTGTGGGTGGAAAATTGATATAGCAGCGAGTATTTTATAATTGCCACGTGGGCTAACTTCTTGAATATTGTGGATTCTAACTGACCCTAGGCCTGCGAGGTTATTTTACTCCTAGTTTCATAATGCCACTGCGGGCTGGTGTTTATTCTTTGTCCCCCGGTCTGAGTGGTCGTTACCCTAGTTGCGAAGGGAAGGGATGGACGTGGCGGATTAGATTGTGATTTGGTGAAAGCAGGGCGCTGCAGTAGGAAATAGGTGAAGAGTGGATGTCTGGGGTTAAAGTATCAATTAGGGAAGCCCGATTCAAAGTCAGGCTAGTGGTGAGGTCATCAATTTTCGTCATATACAATCACAGAAAACAGAAGCTGTTAAGACACAAGTTATCCTGAGTGGTAATGTCGTCTCTCACCTTCAGTCACAGCTCTACAACTCTCGCAACAACCCTTGGAATCAAAGTCACATGGAATCTACACAGCGAGTCATGGCTCTGGGAATTGTGGACACCAGATTGCACCATACTACATGAACTTATTCTGTCGGGATAGCTTGATTTGACTCGTAAACTTCAGGCTCTTATATCAGGCCTAGCACGTATAGTTAACTCGCACAGTACATCTTTCTGTCACAGGGCTGATCGACATGTATCATTGACCTTTTTTAATTGTGATCAAGGGTTTTGTAGTGGAGAAAGGATTCAAGAGGGAAATCATGCCTATTTATACTACTTTACTGAAATAACCCATGTAACACACAATGGCTGATCTCCCGTTCAGGACTTGACCTTGGCATACGCTCATTCCTTGAGACGGAGACTCAAAATTATCAGGGCCATCTGCTAAGAACCCCATTTTCGCCAAAGAGCCAGCAGAGATAGATTGAATCCCATGTTGACCAGGAGGATTCTTATTATCATTGAGTCTACGTCACTCCCAAGTAATCCAGACGTCACAGAAGAAGTTGAGTTAAGCTCCTATTTAGCGAACACGCTCTGTCAGGACTGTTCTGACATTTCAGCACGACCTTCAGGAAACAGTTGAATTAAGGATAGAAAGGCAGAGGGTGAATTTTAGGCAGGTACGGGGCTGCAGTGCCTAGTTGACTGACCTCCTTGGAAACTCCGATAGATAAATTATGTTCACGATGTTTGCCCTAGTGTCAGCATTAGGAAGGATCGCAGGCAAAAGTTATTGTGACGTTGTCCTGGATTGAAGTACAAAGGTTTGATCCTGCACTTGAAAAGGGGAGACAATAGAAGTTTTGATTTATTTCCAACCTGAGAAGGGCATCGATATTTGAACAAAGCTGTAAAGAAAAGTGTAGGATAGACTACAATTCCTAGGTCGTAGGTATTTTTTTGTTTTTTTAGCATCAGATTTTAATTGCGTATGCAGCTATCTAGCTTTGACACAATATCGGAGAAAAAGTACAGAAAAGATGACTCAATGTAAAAGAAGAGCGCTCATACCTCGGATTTTATGTGCAAGTACTACTGCGAAGTTATGGCGGCTTTTTCTTCACCCCAAGTCAACTCTCATCCGTGAATACCCACCCAGGGGAACGTCTCAAAACCCCTAAGTTATCTAGATACACCTCCATCATCTATTATCTTTCCTCCGCGCGAAATCTGGTCTGAGGCGTCTCCTTCCCAAGTGAAGTGGATGCTCAAGCTACTCAAACTGTATCAGAGACAACCAGGTCGTAGGTATAAGAAATAAATAATTCATTATCCTGATTTGGCGCCTTAAGGCCCATGCCGGTTTTTATCGGAAGATATGTACTTTAAGTAGGATGACTCAATTTGTCATTTAGAACACTCACACTCAGATTTTATTTGCAGATACCACTCGAGATTAATTCTTACGACGTATAACCTCTTCCTTGCATACCCGCCACAGGGAAAAGCGCGAAAACCCTGTGGCTATGCGAGTGTTCTTTCATCATCCCACAAGTACAACATCACCGCAAGAGAGAGTGGTGTTTGGGCTTTACTGGATTTGAACCCGCTTTCTCCTGTCTCGAATTGGGTAGGCGTTCAAGCTATCCAGTATTTACTTGGGAGAACGGCCTGGATGGTGTACCACTGCACCACCCAACCCAGGTCGTGGATATACTACACCTATTGGCAAAGACTCAATTGTCTTGTATGGTCTTCGACCGTAATGTACTTACCAGTCTCTCTATTGAACCAGATATACACTTGTAGACGTATCTTGCTGGTAGCCAGGATATGAACTAAAATCAGCTGTTCAACTTCCTTCGACCTATCGAGTACCTCCGGCAATCTAGTCGTCGTTCTACGAATGTATCGTCATATATGATTGATCCATTTGGCGAAGGGACTCACAGTTTAATCAGTTAGCTAATAGCGATAATGAGGCTCGTTCCCCTGAGTTTCCAAAATGTCATCATCATAGCTCTTCATCGCCCTACCCCCATTCCGTATTAGATTATATAAAATACCGGCGCCCCTGCAAGATCGGCGAGTCCCCTCACTTCACTACCGATCTGTGAATGATGGAGTTGTGCGAGATAAGGATACCCGCGGAGTCACGGACCTAAGAGCCGGAAGAAGATCGACGCGAATACTGCGCGTATGTCAAAACAAACGACTACCTAGGTTCAATCACCTCTTTCGAGCCGACAGCGGCGTCACTGGTGCAGGCTTGTGTGAGTTTGAAGGGATCCTCCAGCCTCAATGCCGCGATATATTGCAGTCATGTAAGTTTGTCTCATCTGATGTATAATTCCTACCCTTTGCACAGCGGCTCATATTACTGGGATTTACTGAAATCTCTTCATGGGACAAAGGCAAGCACAGACTCGACACCGATCATGCTACAGATGATGAAGGCCATCTCATACTTCTGTCTGATATGGGGCGCAGTCATTTATGGAACTATGGCTTGGTTCGATCGAGGGACAACATCTCATATTAATCATACTAGCGCCCCACAAGTAACGCTGCATGACGATGGAAGTACACTCACATCCGCATTGATCTCCCGAGTAGAGTAAGGGTAGCTCGGACACCTGTTTCCCATGAGACAGAAGACTGCGATTTCCAATACACTAAAATTCGACAATATGACTCGCGATGTTTGTGTTCAGGATGACGAAGGAATGTTTGGATTTCGCAAGGTTTTAAAACCTTGTTTCGACAGACACTCGTAGATGAAGGCTGTCTGCATTCGTGAGTAATTGCATCATTGTGTTATTCTCGATAAAATCTAGAGATTGTTCGTCGCATCCCTCACAAAATTCGTGGAGATTGTTATCAAGGCATTGATAACAAGTCATGGCTGGACAACCGGGAATGCGTCGGACGGTCTCTACGAAAAAGAAAACTCGCGGCGAGGAGCGTAAGACCAAGTAACTTACAATTGGGAGTACTGACTGAGGTTAAAGATTAGCGCCTGGATCTTGGCTTGACAGCGCCTATCGCTCTATCATCAATTCCTGCCGATGGAGACGGGAATCGAAAGAAGAATCCCATAGATAAGAGTAGATGGAGTTCTAATGCGAACATCCTTCCTCCGAAGGCGAGCTGAGGATGATTCCGAACAAAGGTCAAGAACGGCCGTCTCCCCGACCAAAGAAATGAGTGGACCAATGGCACTACGGGGTCTTCCCCTGAAACACGAGGAAGCCACTCAACCATCATACCCTAGAGCCCCACCTACGCTAATTGGCCCTTCCGAGGTCGAGAACGCGCAGATCCCACACTGCTTACTCATCTTAACCGCAGGCTATCTCATGCACCCTCTCGCACTTGACTCTGAACCTCTATTGCCGGTGATGCTCTCGTTCAAATGCTGTCAAGCTCCTCGCTTTATCTGATCCTTTAAGCGGGCCTCGCATTCACAGCGTGGAAACTAGCATGCATGGGCGATAAGAGGCAAGTTTCGCCTCGTCTAGTTGTAGGCTCAAATCTCTTGTCTAGCACTGGTACCCGAGACGCTATCAACTGCTATCCGCCCTCCGCGGGCCTCAGCATAGCCGTTGTCGTACCCCATGCTATCGCATCCGTGTCTTCACCCAACCATTGCCCAGCTAGGTCAAGTGATAAGCGCCCTCAGAAAACTGTGCTCAACTGCTGCTGCGCTGAAGCTCGCGCATGACCTGGGCCCACCCCGCCGCCGGACGGTCCGCAGCGGCTCGTCACGCAATCTCGCGTTCCCGCTAGCTGCGTTACTGCGTCATTCATCTCCATCTAATCCTGGCTGCAGGAATCAATCAGCAACTGTCCCCCTTCCAGACTTATTAATCACTATTCTCCGTCGAGTTACTCTCTGCTGATTGGGTTGAGCTTTGTAATGCTCCAGAACTAAATGAATGAAATATGATAGAAATATCCCGGGTTATACCAAGTGCGACTGACGCATAATTTGGAATGAAACATGTCCGGAGAAAATACACAGCAAATTTTGGCAGCTTTTACTCGGCTTTCACGAGCCTTGGAGCATTAATAAGTGCCGGGATTCATCACGGTGTATCTTGAGAGATGTTTGCACTTAATACTCGTGGTATTGTAGCTTTGTAACATCTGAGAGTCTAATTACATTCGACATTTTAAAGTGAAGTTATGGCAGGGCGCATGACTTATAATTTTATCATTCCATTCATTATGAGAAGACTTTACAAGATGAAGACTCCATAGTCGCACAGAATACAATCGAATGAGGAAGTAATATATGACATTTGCCACTTAAACGCCGGATACAACCGAATCGATGCGCATGTTACTTTAGACACGACTTTAAAACCATATTTACCCCATAACCGTCTTCACCGGTTTCACCCAAATACGCCACATTCATTATCGGCTTCGTAAAGTGCCGTGCTTAACCTTCTGTGCCGTTGTCCCAATGTCGAGTCTATCTGTTGACAATCTGAAAAAAACTCGGTCCTAAAGTCCAGTTTATTCTCATAACATTAAATAAATTTGAATCTTAGCGTGGCACTCCTTCGAGAGGCCTATTTGAAAAGGAATAATATAACGTCGATTGATTAGGTTCCAGGACCAACTGTCTTACGATGTTTGTAATCGTGAAGCTCATCGAAGTCGAATGTAGCCTCGTTGTACTTGTAAGCGTGAAAGTCGATGCCATAGGGCTTTGGTTCGATGGAAAAGAGCATTCCCAAGGGCACATCTAGATCAGCAATGGCTTCCCGCTGAAGATCCATAAAATATGCCATTAAGACACGGCAGACTGATCTATGCCCAATTATGAGAACATGGTCCTTAATTCGTTCAATTTCTCGAACAACATCTCGAAGTCGACCTATGACTTGTAGATAACCTTCACCACCAACTCCAGGATAAATATATCCCAACTTATCCTTAGATCGCTTGGCAAATTCTTCTGGGTAGTTTGTAGCAATATGATCATAAGTCATACCCTCAAAGGAGCCTGCATGTAATTCATTAAGCATTTCCCAATGCTTAACATCATAATTCTCGTCCTCGTCGAATTCCTTACCAGTCTGAATACTGCGCTGAAGCATTGAAGTCCATACACAGAAATTTTTTGCTTCAAGTTCGCCCAAAAGCTCAGGATAGGGTGGAGTTTGATCTCCAGGTTGAGGGAGTCTCATACTGTCTAGTGCACGGTCTTTTTGATCCTTTTCCCATTCATGGCGCTTTTTATCCACAAAGTTGTATAGCGCTGTAGCGTAATTTTCACCCTCTTCGGTCAGGCCAGAATCACCTCCGATCCTACCTAGAGCGTTATCGACAGATTTTCCGTGGCGTGTGAGCCAGATCTGTCTAGGCGATAAATTAAAAGTAGATAGGTAGGATGCGATCCCATTTGCGAGAAAGCCCTGGAGGGCATAGTGGACCACCTTTCGGCCCACATCAATCATCTTTATGTACTGCATGCTGTGTTTTTCTTCAAAGCTTCCCAGGGGAACATAGGCGCTTTCATAAGCAGCTACACGTCTCTTGAAATCCGCTAGTGAACTTTCTGGGTCTTTATCTCGGTAATCAGGACCTCGTAGTTTGAGGTGCATGTTAGCCTCAAGCAACTTTCTTCTGTTAGCAAAGTTTTGGACTATAGATGTTGTAGGCTACCTTCTCGTCCTCGCAGACACTTTCAATAAAGAGAATATTAAGTTTTGGTTCCCGTTCTTTGATGTGTCTGAAAAGATTTAAACGTCGCTCGATAGTACTATTGGTGGCATCTAAAATTCCGACAGAGCCATTTTCCTTTAGGAGGAAATCTAGTAGTTCATCCAGAGTAGACATAGCGAGTTGTTCACGGAGGTTAGTAGCTTGCTCGTTTTTAGGGTCGAAGAATTCGGCACTTTGTTCTATGACATCGACAGGACACATTCGACTGCTCTCCTCTCCAATGGCCTCTAAAGGATCTACACCATTAAGTAGAATATGAGCAGCTTGAGTAGGTGCATCAATATGGGTATTAGGAGAAGCCGTTCTATTAGTTCGAGGGCGCTGACCAGCAGCAATTGAGGTTTGCTGGGAAGTCGATCCACCTGCACCTGCAGCTATCCGCCGACGATTTCCAACATTAAATATCTTAGTCGCATGTTGCTGCCAAGATAGATATCGTCGAATCTTTTTGGTGATATAAGACTTGCCTCTAGCAGGAAGGCCTACCATAATTACAACTAATTTGGCGCCAACGTCTCTTTGCGCAATCTTACCATCTGGAGAAATCTTTGACCTAGTCATGCCAGGAATATTGAGAGTAGTTGCAGGTGGTCGGACACGCGGAGTGGTTGAGCCAGAGTTCTGACGAGTTGGTCTCCTAATGATTTGATGAGTAAATTACGACTTTAACATGAGTTGATTACAGCCAGGCATGATGTAAAAATTGGAAAGATTGCGCTACTTACAATTTAGGACTATCTGGAGTAGTAACAGAAAATATTTCTTCGTTCATTGCCGGACTGTTCGTCGTGTCGACATAAGTGATAGCGTATTCAAAGGCTGCAGAAGTTGGAGATGAGTCATCTTTTTGCTTCGAGTCAAAGACAAAGTTTAGAAATAAAGAAGGATTTCCGTCAGAATTAGATGAAGTTGAGTTCGTGCGATTGTGATTCACGCTCATTCTGGCCAATGTTGTTGTCCTTGGGTCAGATGGATGGATCTGGTGTTGGATTGTAACGGGAGGAGGGCTGCGACGAGGCACCTCCTCCACCAAGGAGCTTGAGGACATAGCCCGGGGTGATAGATAAGGTTGATCTGATGGGACAAGTCAACCAGGGGTTGAGGAAAGGGAGGGTCGGTGGAAGAATAATAGGCTTGTGCCAGAAAGGATGAACGAATTTCTCGATGCCAACTTATATTGCCGTGCGGTTGAGAGTGGGCGATAAAGCAACTGTTTACGGCGTTATTAGCCCAGAAGATATTGATAATCGGTGGGTTTGGAGGGGTGGGGCGAGGATCGGGAAGTGTGGGATCCGATTTTCTGAGACTTTTGCGACTCTAGAAAACTACCTGATTTGGCCCTTGAAGTTTTGGCGGAAAGGCTGAAGAAGAGACTGAACGGCTAATGGACAAGCAGCTCAACGGACGGTAAATTGGTTGGTTGGTAGGCTTCAGATGATGAGTATGATTCTGATAATTATTGTGACAGGAAAGATGGGGATTTAGGTGACAGATGAACTGGATGCAATGCGACCTTGATTCAACCACCGTTTCTTCTGCTTTATATCATGATTACTAACGGTACATCAGGCCATATCCAATGGGCTCTAGACTGGTTTAACAAGACGCCCCAAGCTACAATACCCAATCAAATTCCCATGAGGCACTACTAGATACTACGGGGTTTCTCGGCTTCTTGGCTAGTTCAGAGGGGTTGTGGGGGGATTTAACCAAATCCACGCGACTGGGAATATTAGAAGGAGCCTGGCAGAAGGTGCGTGTGTTAGTCGTTATCCGTATATGGATTGCATGGGAAATGTTCATGACGCAGTCCACTGATGATCCTGTGCCGCCTTGCATGAAAGAGGGCCAGGGTATCAGGTATCCACGATAAATCTACAGGTATAACTCGTAGATATAGCCGCGTGTATATTTGTATGTGTGCATGCATGTGTTAATGCACACGTTGAGGCGTACTGAAGGTATGAAGCATGGCACAAATAATATAGCATACTTGCATAATTACTTACTCTAGTGAATAAATATTGAATGTCGCGTATTGGCAGCCCTGCTTGTTTTAGAACTTCTCCCTGCCCTGGACGGCGACATAGTCGTAGTTGATGTTGCCACCGAATGTCTCAGGGCCCATGTTACAGGCCGGAAACCCACAGCAATCTGATAACATATAGTCGCTAGTACATAGACGTCCAATGAAACTCCATCGGGCTCATGATCGGTGTAATCAACGGTGAACCAGTGTGACACTTGACGAAACTACTATCTTCTCATATTTACCAGTCCCATTAGTCTTAAGATCTATACTGAAATCAATAATGTAGTTGCGCTACTGTAGTCAAGCTAGTTACGTGGTGTTACCCATCCCAGCTAGAGCTAGTCCAAGCAGCAGGGTTGGGGAATCCAACGTGAGAGAAACATTTGCTCTTTATCTGACAGCAGAGTCAGCCTGGAAATGGATATCCCTCGCCTGTGAATAAAATTCTAACCATTTGCTGAGATGTGAGTCCCGGAGTTCAGGCTCTCGATGCCAAGACTTATCTGATTCGCCCCATCCCCATGCAAAGATTGTTATGGGGCAGGACTAAGGATCGCATGGGTAGTGGGTACAAACTAAAAGGAATTGTTGGTGTGCCGGCGCACGGTCTCCTAGTGGCGATACTGATCGCCTCCAGGTCCCACAACGCCAAGATACCTGACTGAGGTTAGCTTGGGCGCGAAATCATATTCCTTTCCGGCATGCCGTGCAAATTGACCTCATCGGAGGCTCTCAGTGAGTACACATCTTTTCAAATTATTTAATGTTTATTCAGCATTCTAGCTTTGCTACATCTTCTGTGTTATGTATACATGTCGGATGACTCTTTTGACGTTGGGGACACTTATATTCTGGGGTTCACTTGCAAATACCATTATGAGGTATGTTTACTTATACAAACAGTCGACCCGCCTCCGAGAGTACCTACCAAAGAGAAAATGAGAACCTTTGATTATCTAAGCATGGCTTTGTCATCCTTGAACAAAAGCACCGCGAGAAATGTGGTTTCAGTAATACCTAGGTGGCTACACACATGCCACTGATATTCATCCGGCTGATTATCAATTCGCACGGAAGCCGCGGACTACGGTGCTCAAATGTGTGTTTAACCGTGTTTTGGTTTATTAATCGGATAGGAATCTGTAATAGATTCCGAAGAAGGTGGCTACTTATCTCCTGTAAAGCATATGTTTTTTGTCGAAATCCCAGCCATTAATATTTAAAGTTCGCTCTTTTTTTTTTGCATCAGATTTTAATTGCGTATGCAGCTATCTAGCTATGACAAAATATCAAAGAAAAGTACAGAATAGATGATTCAACGTAAAGGAAGAGCACTCATGCTTCAGATTTCATTTGCAAGTACCACTGCGAAGTTATGGTACCTTTTTCTTCACCCCAAGTCAACCCTCATCCGTAAATACCCACCCAGGGGAACGTCTCAAAAACCCTGAGTTATCCAGACATGCCTCCATCATCTTTCAACTTTTCTCCGCGCAAAATATAACCTGAGATGTCTCCTTCCAAAGTGGAGTAGGTGCCCAGGCTACTCAAACTATACCAGAGAACACCACCAGGAGGCGGACCACAACACCTTCCATCGTCGGCTTGTGTTTATAGTGTCAGCTGCGCTCTCCCAAGCGAAGTCTTGGCGCGCACAAAGCCCAATTCGAAAATCTCCTTCCCAAAATTCGGAAATTCATGCCCTTCGAGGTTGTATTCTTCCTTTGCATCATCTTGTCAACTTGTCCTGCATCCTCTCACTTCCATCCCAAAGAACAGTCTCCCAGATTTGTGCGCCACGCTTTGCTTCCTCCGTCGGGTATAAATATCGGCGTGGGCGTGTATTTGGTGACCGGCTGAGGCTAGAGGAAGTCGACGAGAAGTGTGATCATTGGGATGAGGATGTACTAGGTCGTACTTGCAGAATTGATGGGACTTAGGTAGAAGTCAAACTCGTCGGGTGCGTAAAAACGACGTGGAGGAGTAATTTGAATTTTTACCTCGTGGGCAAACTTCTTTGATATTGCGAAATTTGACTGAGCTTGGCTCTGGGAGAATATTTCACTCCCAGGTTCGTAGAGAACACCGCGTACAGGTGTTCAGTCTTGCCCTCCTTAAAATTCGTTCGTGCCGGCTATAACGAACCGTCAAATTCCAGCTGTGCCAGTGCAAACGCTCAATATGCTCTTAATACCCGAGAAAGCTAAAAATAATCGCTTCCAAATCGAAGTCGAAAATAGGTACAATAATATTTATGAACAGTGACTTGCCTTAATTGTTCACTTTGTTATTTTAAAGCGAGTCCTATACCTCAATTCTACCACACATCAGCTCGCCTGAACGCCCGATGAAGTAATCACTCCAATGGTGATGAGGGCTTACTCATCAACTACAGGCCACTCCACACTTTCAAATTACGATGCTACGTAAATTGGCGAGGAAGAAAATTAAGTCGTATGGTTCAAAGCTCGGGCTTTGGCTCATTGATGACCACAGTTATATTGGGCTCCAAAACTTAACAGAAGACAGGTAATTAAGACGTGGAACGAGAGAGAGAAGAATTAATCGACGAACATGATAGGACAATTTTTTTAAAGGATTTTAGGCTTTGGTGTTTATTGTAGTGGCCACGGCTTCAATTTCGGATGATTGGCCTGGGGGACTTCTATTGTTAATGAGTATACGGCACTCCCAGGGGATAAAAATTTAACACCTACCAATGGTCTCCCCTACGAGCCTCCAGCTCTCACTGTAGAGTTTGCAGAGCCGAATTTTAGTAACACCTTCGTCCTCACTTCAATGAGGATCCCCAATCACTTTCGCGGTCTATATCTTCTTCATCTCTCAATATATCCCCCTATCACCACTACAATGAAGCTAACTACGATCAGATCAGATGGGAGGGTCGGAGCCCTACTCATCACAAACCTTGATCATGGAGGAAAAGCCATCCGATGAGTTTCCGGAGTGTAGCCAGCACCCGATACAGAGATGGTGGATTGGATCAAGTCGGCCTCTAGTTTTACAGTGAAGAGAGGTACAGATGAATATGCGCACCCCATGTGCTCCCGGTGTCTAGACCTCGTCTAGCTGGAGCTGAAGGTTTTTAAGACTTTTTCTCGCGCCCACAGTTTCCATTATTACCTTTTTTAAAGATAAAAGCTCCACAGAAAAAGAGGTTGAATACTGTGAGTAGAGCTGAGCTTAATGGCTATCCAGCACGAGTATCATGATAGAAACCTCTTTTCTCAACAAAAGAGGGTAGTAGCACTCTACGAGGTGCGGGTTGTGCTAGAGAGGAGCTCAATTCGTGGGAATAAATCTGTTTTGGACTAAGAGATTGATGTAGCGGAGAATGCTGAATCATTGCCTCGTAGGCCAACCCCTTCGGTATTGCGAAGTTCGAATGAAATTGGTTCTTGAAGAATATTCCCCTCCCAAGCTCGTCAAGGATACCGCGGACAGCTGTTCAGTCTTTATTCATCACCATTTGGGGTCATGCATGTGTCTTTGACTTTAGTAAATACGGAGTAAACTAGTTGGTTAAAAAATTCCTCATGCTGCCCACCTTATGTCTGCAGAGTTTATCGAGTTTCCTTCAGGAATTGCACATCATTGTTTGTCTGGTACAGACTCCCTCTTTTCTCTTTCCTGATAGATGCATTCTTTAATGAACTGCTATCCCAATATTTTCTGTAAGTCGTAATTATCCAAGCCAGTTTTTATTAGGATCCACTCTGTCATTCTGTCCATATCACCTTTGATGTTAATCATAGCTTAAAAAGATCTACCTTTTGCCTGTTCCAGCACCTCTACTCTTCCATTTACCCACCGACAACCTGCCAAGACTATATGTTTGGCGTTTGGTAACGAATATCCGCACGGGCATTTTGGACTAGTCACTCCGAGGACCTTTTTTCGGTACAGTATAAGTTAAGGCCAATGCGCTTACTTCTCGTCTGAATTGCGACACTGTTATGGGTCTTACCAAGGTTTCAGTGGATGTCAGAGGGCAT